GTGACAAAACATGAGAGACACCTAACTCTGGGAAATGGACAAGGGGTGGTGGAAAGGGAGGTGGGCGGGGGGTTGGGGTGACTGACTGATGGACACTGAGGTGGGCACTTGGCGGGATGAGCACTGGGTGTTATGCTAAATGTTGGCAAATTGAACTCCAATAAAAAAATTAAAAGAAACAACAAGCTTGATATTTTATACACATACATATGATTTTTGTTTCCTACAAAAAGTACATATTTTTCTCTTATGCCCATTGAATAACTAAAAATCAGTGATGAAAAAATCAGGAATTTTGCAATAAACAATTGGGGAAGGGGACATTAGCAAGATGGCAGAATAGTAAACCCTGAACCCTCATTTCCATCAGAAACAAACATATACAGCAGCATTTCACAGATTCTCTTTTTGAGAAATCAAGATACTAATTGAAAGTCTCCTGTACCCCAAGTGAACATGCAGCCAGACTCACCAAAGCTTATAGGGACATTGGGGACACCTTCTTGCCAGGATCCCTATCCCTGGAATAGTACTATATAATCAGAAAGAGACAGACACACCCCAGCTCCCAGCTTCTTCCACAGGAAAGAAGGGGGTTGATTTGCATTTCCAGTACCTACATTTTCTGAGAGGGCTCTCCAGAGGACCAGCTTTTGTCATGAAAATATTGGAGCTCTGATGGGACTTGCACAGTCTGGCTTCCCTGGGAGAGAACAGAGATGGCAGTTTGGATTGATAGACATCATAGTATCTACCCCCTGCTCATCACAGAGTGAGAAGATGAAAAATCCCAGCTCGGCTTCTCCTTGAGGAGGGAAATAATTTATATATCATATGTCCCAACTTTTCCATGGTTGTTCTAAAACTGGCATCAGTCTTATAGACTTGTAACCTTGAGAATTTAATGCAATGTAGCCACCTGACAAAGAACAGAGATTGTGGTTTGGACTGATGGAATGCCATAGCTCCTCCTTATGGCTTAGCACAGAGCAAAACAAAAACACAGCTTTCTGCTGTTACTGGGGGAAGTAAAAAGTTTGTAGAGATGCCCAGAATCTCTGGCCAGACTGATCAGTGGATGTCTTCTGTATGAGGCCAGTCCATGATGACTGAGGGAGGTGTGTGCTTTGTTTAAAACACAAACACCAACAGAGAGAGTCAAGGAAAATAAAGAATCAGGCAGATAAGTATCAAATAAAGGCATAAGATAAATCACCAGAAATAAACCCTAGTGAAATGGAGATTTATGATTTACCTAATGGAGAATTCAAAATAACCATAATAAAAATGCTCACTGAGGTCAAGAGAATAATGCATGAACAAAGTGATAATTTCAACATGGCAGTAGAATATATATATATATATATATATATATATATATATATATATATTTGTTTTAATAGAAATGGAGCTGAAGAACACAATAACTGAACTAAAAAATTCACAAGAAGGGTTCAATATCAGACCAGATCAAGCAGAAGAAAGGATCAGTGAACTCAAAACAGATCCTTGGAAATAATTCAGAGGAGCAAAAAGAAAAATGAAAATGAAATCTTAAGGGACTTAGCAGATACCATAAAGAAGAGCAATATACACATTATAGGAGTCCCAGAAGGAGGACAGGGGATTAAAAAGTGATCAGAAAGCTTATTCAAAGGAATAGAAGCTGAAAATGTTAGAATTCTGGAGAAGGAAATGTACATACAGATTGATGAAAACTAGAGAACACCAAACAGTGGTCCAAAGATAGCCACACTGAGATACATTATAATTAAATTGTCAAAAATCAAAGACAAAGAGGAGTTTGAAAGAAGCAAGAGAAAAGTGATTTCTCATATACAAGGGAACATTTATGACTCTCAGAGTTGTGTGTGTGTGTGTGTGTGTGTGTGTGTGTGTGTGTGTGTGTGTGTTTCAGAGACTTGGTAGGCTGAAAGGGAGTTGCATGATATATTCAAACTGAAAAAAATCCTGCCAACCAAGACTACTTTACCTGGCAAAATTATCCCTCAAAAATGGAGAGATAAAGAGTTTCCCAAACAAAAGCTGAGGGAGTTCATCACTACTAGAACTGCCTTAAAAAGAAATGGTAAAGGGAGTTCTTCAGGTTGAAAGGATGTTAAAAAGTAGCACAATAGCATAATATGAAATTCCTGATGCCTGAGTGGCTCAGTGGTTGAAAGTCTGCCTTTGGCTCAGGGTGTGTCCCAGTGGGATCAGATCCTGCATCAGGCTTCTAGAGAGGAGTCTGCTTCTTCCTCTGCCTATGTCTCTGCCTCTCTCTGTGTGTCTGTCATGAAAAAATAAATAAAATCTTTAAAAAAATATATGAAACTCATTGGTAAAGGCAAATATATAGATAAATACAGAATACTGTATCACTGTAATGGTGATGAGTAAGTAATTTTTAATTCTAGTATAAAAGTTGAAGGACTAAAGTATTAAAAATAACTAAAAATATATTAAAAGATACAATATGAATAGATGCTAATTCAATGGCAATAACAAAGTAGGGGGAGGGAAGAAGTTAAAATGTTGAGTTCTTTATGTGATTAAGCTTAAGTTGTTATCAGCTTTAAATAGACTCTTCTAACTATATTTTATGTAAGCCCCAAGGTAACCACAAAAAATACCAGTAGAAATTACAAAAGAAAAAAGAAAGGAATTACAACATATCAATACCAAAAAATTCAACAAAACAGAAAGGAAGACAGAAGAAAGGAAAAGGCAGACCAAAGAACTGCAGGACTAACAGAAAACAGCAAAATGGCAATATTAAATCCTTCACTATCAGTAATTACTTTAAATTTAAACAGTTGAGGGCCACCTAGGTGGCTCCATTGGTTAAGCAACCAACTCTTGATTTCGGCTCAGGCTGTGATCTCAGGGTTCAGGCTCTGCACTAGGCATGGAGACTGCTTAAGATTCTCTCTCTTCCACTTCCTCTGCCCCTCTCCCCTCTTAAAAAATGAAATTAGTGAGGCACCTAAATGGCTCAGTGGTTGAACATTGGTCTTTGGCTCAGGTCTTGATCCCAGGGTTCTGGGATCAAGTCCCACATCAGGCTCCCCACAGGGAGTCTGCTTCTCCCTCTGCCTGTCTCTCTCTCTCTCTCATTAATAAAATCTTTTAAAAATGGAATTAGAAAATACCTCAAGACAAATGAAAATACAGCACATCGAAACATGAGATGTAACAAAAGCAATACTAAGAGGGATGGCACCAAATCAGTATTGAAAAAGAACAACAGGGGATCCCTGGGTGGCTCAGTGGTTTAGCACCTGCCTTCAGCCCAGGGCGTGATCCTGGAGTCCCAAGATCAATTCCCGCATCAGGCTCCTTGCATGGAGTCTGCTTCTCCCTCTGCCTGTGTCTCTGCTTCTCTCTCTCTCTCTCTCTCTCATAAATAAATAAATAAATAAATAAATAAATAAATAAATAAATATTTAAAAAGAACAACAAACTTGGAGGCATCACATTTCCTGACTCCAAAATGTATTACAAAGCTACAGTATCCAAAACAATATGATACTGGTATTAAGGCAGATACACAGACAAATGAAACAGGAGTTGACACTGATGTGGCCAACTGATCTTCAACAAGGGTGCCAAGAATACACAATTGGGAAAGAATAGTCTCATCAAATGATGTTGGGAAAACTAGACATCTACATGCAAAAGAATGAAATTGGACTCTTATTTTATATTATACACAAAAATCAACTCAAAATGAATTAAACACTTAAATGTAAGACCTGAAACTGTAAGCCTCCCTAGAAGAAGGACATCGTCATGACATTGGTCTTGGAATGGTTTCATAGTTATGCTACCAGAAAAATAAGAAACAAAACCAAAATGAGTATGAGTATCATAAAAAAAAGCAAAAAAGAAATACAAATCTTGTGTATTGAAGGAAAATGCCATGTTCAAAAAGATTTTATGCCAGAAACATAAGCATGAGTTTGGCATTAAGAAATGCATCATCATAATTCATTACAAAACTTAAAGGATAAAAAAAGTGAACATAAAAATACATGCCAAAAATTGTTAAAATTCACCAGCTATTCCAATTTTTGAAAATTTCATGAGAATATGAAGATACTACATAAACATGGTAAAGACACCAAAATCTAATGGCAAATAACATTTTAATTACTGAAATACTGAAGGTTTTTATACTTCTTTTTTTATTTTTATTTTTTAATTTTTTTTTTTATTTATGATAGGCACACAGTGAGAGAGAGAGAGAGGCAGAGGGAGAAGCAGGCTCCATGCACCGGGAGCCCGATGTGGGATTCGATCCCGGGTCTCCAGGATCGCGCCCTGGGCCAAAGGCAGGCGCCAAACCGCTGCGCCACCCAGGAATCCCTTCTTTTTTTTTTTTAATTTATTTATTTATGATAGTCACACACAGAGAGAGAGAGAGAGAGAGAGAGGCAGAGACACAGGTAGAGGGAGAAGCAGGCTCCATGCACCGGGAGCCCGATGTGGGATTCGATCCTGGGTTTCCAGGATCGCGCCCTGGGTCAAAGGCAGGCGCTAAACCGCTGCGCCACCCAGGGATCCCCGGTTTTTACACTTCAAATCTCTTTCTTTTTTGCCTTTTTGTCCTAGTCAATTTGAATAACTTCCAGCAGATTCTCCCCAACATAAGACTTTGTCATGGAAATTTAATTTTAAAAACTCATAGTCCCTGGACTTCTCTGGTACCTTCACACTTTACAGTTGACCTCTTGCACTCTCCCCAAAACTGAAGTGTCAGAAACCCTTTCTAACTTCAGGTGTTTTGTTTTTTGTTTTGGCGAATTGGTTTCCTATCTGTTTGATAGTTAGGATTTCTCCTGTTCTGGGGTCCAGTCAGCATCTTATTACTCTTCTCTAATTTATCTCTGACAGATACTAATACCGCTTGGCTCTTAGAGCTATCAGTAATTTGTCTTTATCTATGCATGCTTTGGAGTTTGTGAGATGCCTTATCACCTTTTTGTTGTTGTTTGTAGGTTTTGATTTTACCATCCTGGTGCTTTGTCTGTCTTCTGTGGAGTGGTTTGAAGAAATTTTGAAAAACTGAAGTCTGCTGCCACTTTCTGCAAATCTCCCTTCTGTTCTCATATTTAAATTTGTTTCCTAACCATTAAAAAATAGAATGGTACATCCTATGGCAAATAGTTTTTTCCATGGACTATGACATGCAGCCTTATTCAAAAAGTTTTTGTTTTTATTTTTGTTTTTTTTTCTAAACTAGAAAACCTGAATTCAAGTCCCAACTTGGTTATTTGCAAATTTTTATTTTTGTCATTTAATCTATTGAGCATCAGCTTCTTGTTTGTAAAGCGGAAATAACAATATATGAATTTTTTTGATTATTCAACAGCATTTCTAGAAATGCTTTGCAAAGTAAGAAGTGTGATGCAAGTACGAAATATTGATATTTCTTCAAAGTTTCCCTTTGAGAACTTTCCCAGGATCAGGATTTCCCCTTTCCCATGAATGTTTTTTCCAAAAAGTTTTTTTTAAAGATTTTATTTGTTTATTCATGAGAGAGACAGAGACAGAGAGGCAGAGACACAGGCAGAGGGAGAAGCAGGTTCCATGCAGGGAACCTGATGTGGGACTTGATCCCGGGTTTCCAGGATCACACCCTGGGCTGAAGGCAGCGCTAAACTGCTGAGCTACACAGGATGCCCTCCATAAAGTTTTTTTTTTTTTAATTGAAGGAGAGTACAGCAAAGTTCTTACTATATCATCAGGAATATTTGACCCATCACAGAGGCTCAGTGAATTAGTCAGGCGTGAAATCCTTTGCAGAAGTGACAATGTCTTTTCCCAGATACCTTGATGCTGCTTTAATTGAATTGCATCAGGTATAGTAAACATTTATAATGCCCAAGATCCTACCAGAGCACTACCTTTGAAGAGCTTATATGTAATATGGACCCATCTCCAAAACATAATGAGTCTTTAAAAGCATGACATTATGTTATACATATACTTTGTACATAAAACAATCCCATATAGTTTCTGCCTCAAAATAGACAAAACTGATTGATAATAATCATGTACAATAGGGAGGACTGGGAAGAAGTGATGAAGAGAGATTTAGCCTTATTTTTAATGTTTTTCACTTTTTATTTTTTTAATAATAAATTTATTTTTTATTGGTGTTCACTTTGACAACATACAGAATAACACCCAGTGCTCATCCCATCAAGTGCCCCCCTCAGTGCCCGTCACCCATTCACCCCCACTCCCCGCCCTCCTCCCCTTCCACCACCCCTAGTTCATTTCCCAGAGTTAGGAGTCTTTATGTTCTGTCTCCCTTTCTGATATTTCCCACACATTTCTTCTCCCTTCCCTTATATTCCCTTTCACTATTATTTATATTCCCCAAATGAATGAGAACATATAATGTTTGTCCTTCTCCGATTGACTTAATTCACTCAGCAGAATACCCTCCAGTTCCAGCCACGTCGAAGCAAATAGTGGGTATTTGTCGTTTCTAATGGCTGAGTAATATTCCATTGTATACATAAACCACATCTTCTTTATCCATTCATCTTTCGATGGACACCGAGGCTCCTTCCACAGTTTGGCCATTGTGGACATTGCTGCTAGAAACATCGGGGTGCTGGTGTCCCGGCATTTCATTGCATCTGTATCTTTGGGGTAAATCCCAGCAGTGCAATTGCTGGGTCATAGGGCAAGTCCATTTTTAACTCTTTGAGGAACCTCCACACAGTTTTCCAGAGTGGCTGCACCAGTTCACATTCCCACCAACAGTGTAAGAGGGTTCCCCTTTCTCCGCATCCTCTCCAACATTTGTGGTTTCCTGCTTTGTTAATTTTCCCCATTCTCACTGGTGTGAGGTGGTATCTCATTGTGGTTTTGATTTGTATTTCCCTGATGGCAAGTGATGCGGAGCATTTCCTCATGCACTTGTTGCCCATGTCTATGTCTTCCTCTGTGAGATTTCTCTTCATGTCTTTTGCCCATTTCATGATTGGATTGTTTGTTTCCTTGCTGTTGAGTTTAATAAGTTCTTTATATCTTGGAAACTAGCCCTTTATCTGATACGTCATTTGCAAATCTCTTCTCCCATTCTGTAGGTTGTGTTTGAGTTTTGTTGACTGTATCCTTTGCTGTGCAAAAGCTTCTTATCTTGATGAAATCCCAATAGTTCATTTTTGCTTTTGTTTCTTTTGCCTTCGTGGATGTATCTTGCAAGAAGTTACTGTGGCTGAGTTCAAAAAGGGTGTTGCCTGTGTTCTCCTCTAGGATTTTGATGGAATCTTGTCTCACATTAAGATCTTTCATCCATTTTGAGTTTATCTTTCTGTATGGTGCAAGAGAGTGGTCTAGTTTCCTTCTTCTGCATGTGGATGTCCAATTTTCCCAGCACCATTTATTGAAGAGACTGTCTTTTTTCCAGTGGATAGTCTTTCCTGCTTTGTCGAATATTAGTTGACCATAAAGTTCAGGGTCCACTTCTGTATTCTCTATTCTGTTCCACTGATCTATGTGTCTGTTTTTGTGCCAGTACCACACTGTCTTGATGACCACAGCTTTGTAGTACAACCTGAAATCTGGCATTGTGATGCCCCCAGCTATGGTTTTCTTTTTTAAAATTCCCCTGGCTATTCTGGGTCTTTTTTGATTCCACACAAATCTTAAAATAATTTGTTCCAACTCTCTGAAGAAAGTGCATGGTATTTTGATAGGGATTGCATTAAATGTGCAAATTGCCCTGGGTAACATTGACATTTTCACAATATTAATTCTGCCAATCCATGAGCATGGAATATTTTTCCATCTCTTTGTGTCTTCCTCAATTTCTTTCAGAAGTGCTCTGTAGTTTTTAGGGTATAGATCCTTTACCTCTTTGATTAGGTTTATTCCTAGGTATCTTATGCTTTTGGGTGCAATTGTAAATGGATTGGACTCCTTAATTTCTCTTGCTTCAATCTCATTGTTAGTGTATAGAAATGCCACTGGTTTCTGGGCATTGATTTTGTATCCTACCACGCTGCCAAATTGCTGTATGAGTTCTAGCAATCTTGGGGTGGAGTCTTTTGGGTTTTCTATATACAGTATCATGTCATCTGTGAAGAGGGAGAGTTTGACTTGTCCTTTGCTAATTCGAATGCCTTTTATTTCTTTTTGTTGTCTGAATGCTAAGGCTAGGACTTCTAGTACTATGTTGAATAGCAGTGGTGAGAGTGAACATTCCTGTCATATTCCTGATCTTAGGGGAAAGGCTCTCAGTTTTTCCACACTGAGAATTATGTTTGCTGTGGGCTTTTCATAGATGGCTTTTAAGATGTTGAGGAATGTTCCCTCTATCCCTACACTTTGAAGAATTTTAATCAGAAATGGATGCCACATTTTCTCAAATGCTTTCTCTGTATTTATTGAGGGGATCATATGGTTCTTGTTTTTTCTCTTGTTGATGTGATCTATTACGTTGATTGTTTTAGGAATGTTGAACCACCCTTGCTTCCTGGGGATAAATCCCATTTGATCATGGTGAATAATCTTCTTAATGTACTGTTGGATCCTATTGGCTAGTATCTTGTTGAGAGTTTTTGCATCTGTGTTCATCAGGGATATTGGTCTATAACTTTCCTTTTTGGTGGGGTCTTTGTCTAGATTTGGAATTAAGGTGATGCTGGCCTCATAAAACGAGTTTGGAAGTATTCTGTCCCTTTCTATCCTTTGGAAAGGCTTTAGTAGAATAGGTATGGTTTCTTCTTTAAACGTTTGATAGAAATCCCCAGGGAAGCCATCTGGCCCTATACTTATGTGTCTTGGGAGGTTTTTGATGACTGCTCCAATTTCCTCCCTGGTTATTGGCCTGTTCAGGTTTTCTATTTCTTCCAGTTCCAGTTTTGGTAGTTTGTGGTTTTCCAGAAATGCATCCATTTCTTCTAGACTGCCTAATTTATTGGTGTATAGCTGCTCGTAATACGTTTTTAAAATCATTTGTATTTCCTTTGTATTGGTTGTGATCTCTCCTCTTTCATTCATGATTTTATTAATTTGAGTCTTTTTAATAAGACTGGCTAATGGTTTATCTATCTTATTAATTATTTCAAAGAATGAACTCCTGGTTTTGTTGATCTGTTCTACAGTTCTTCTGTTCTCTATTTCATTGAGTTCTGGTCAAATCTTAATTATCTCTCTTCTTCTGCTTGGTGTAGGTTTTATATGCTGTTCTTTCTCCAGTTCTTTAGGTACAAGGTTAACTTGTGCATTTGAGTGTTTTCCAATTTTTTGAGGGATCCTTGTATTGCAATGTATTTCCTTCTTAGGACTGCTTTTGCTGTATCCCAAAGATTTTGAACAATTGTTTCTTCATTTCCGTCAGTTTCCATGAATCTTGTTGATTTTTATCTAATTTCCTGGTTGACCCATTCATCTTTTAGTAGTGTGGTCTTTAACCTCCACGTGTTTTGAGTTTCTTCCAAATTTCTTGTGATTGAGTTCTCGTTTCAAAGCATTGTGGTCTGATAATATGCAGGGGACAATCCCAATCTTTTGATATCGGTTGAGACCTGATTTGTGACCCAGTATGTGGTCTATTCTGGGAAAGTTCCATGTGCACTTGAGAAGAATGTGCATTCAGGTGCGTTCAGATGGAAAGTTCTGTGTGTGTGTGTGTGTGTGTGTGTGTGTGTGTATATATATATATATATAATCTGTGAAATCCATCTGGTCCAGTGTATTATTTAAGGTCCTTGTTTCTTTGGTGATGTTGTGCTTAGAAGATCTGTCATTTACAGAGAGTGCCGTGTTGAAGTCTTCTATTATTAGTGTATTATTTTCTAAGTATGTGTTTACTTTGGTTATTAATTGATTGATATACTTGATAGCTCCCACAATGGGGGCATAAATAATCATGATTGTAAGTTCTTCTTGCTGGATAGACCCTTTAAGTATGATATACTATCCCTCTTCCTCTCTTACTACAGTCTTTGGGATAAACTTTAATCTATCTGATATGAGGATTGCTACCCCAGCTTTCTTTTTAGGACCATTTGAATGGTAAATAGTTCTCAAACCTTTCATTTTCAGGCTGAAGATGTCCTTAGGTCTAAAATGAGTCTCTTGTAGACAGCAAATATAT